CACCGGCTGAAACTGCAAAATACCTAAAAAAAGACAGCAAAGACGAATGCAACCGACCAGATACAGAAGCGATGGCAAGATAAACCGCTTCATGGCCAATACTCTGCCCATACCAAACAAGCTGACGTAGACAAAACCCGTCAGTGGCTACGTAGTACAGTGTTGAAAGCGGAAACTGAAGGATTTATCCTTGTTGCGCAGGACCAATGCTTGCTAACTAGGAATTATCAAGCACATATACTAAATATTGTGTCAGCCCAAAATGCAGATTCTGTGATAAATATCCAGAAACGATTGATCGTCTTGTATCAGGTTGCACGGTGTTGGCACCCACTGAATATAAAACCCGACATCACAGAGTGGGCCAATATCTGCACTGGAAAATCTGCAACTTCTACGGGAAGGAAACTGAAAGAAACTGGTATGAACACCACCCAAACCCCGTTACGGAGATAGGACCTGTTACAATTCTATGGGACTACACAATACACACTGACAGAACAATCAAGGCCAACCGGCCAGATATTGTTATTAAAGACCACAAACAAAAACGGTGCCTCCTTATTGATATGGCAGTCCCTGCTGACTGCAATGTATCTTTGAAGATATTCAAAAAGTAGTCAAAGTACAAGGACCTTGAAATAGAAATCTCGAAAATGTGGCATATGGGAACATCAACGATCCCTGTTGTAGTTGGAGCCTTAGGACTGGTTGGAAAAGATTGCAGTAGACTAATTGTAGGAGATACAAAAAATTGTTCTGGCAAGTACAGCCCACACCTTACGAAGGGCTTTATCTATGTAATTTAATTTTTTTTTTTTTTGTCAGTGGAAAGTGTCATGGTGCCATTTCTAACCTTAGGCCCCTGGGCGGGACCCGGAAAGAAATGTGTAAATGCCAGAAATCAAAGAAAATAATAATAATGATAATAATAATAATAATAATAATAATAAACATACGAAAATGTTTACAAATAACTGTGAAACCGTTATATAATTATCATAAAGAAGAAAAATGAAAATTCTCCTTGAGAGAGAATTTCACTTTTCCAGTCGACTGCCTGATAAAATCATAAAAAAATGTTTGCTAACTTATGTCATTTGTACAAGAGAAGTAATAAAAATTTAATACTTGGATGTTGCATTTGTGTTTATCATTGGACAAGAACGCGTCATAAATTTGACCTCGAAATTCGAAGAAGAATCGATATATTCCAGGCGAAAGTATTACCGAAAACAGATCGCTTACGATTCATTGACTAATTTGGTTTGAATTTCTATCAACACCTCTATCTGTTATTTTATACCGAAATGTAAATATTTTGTACGTAATTTTATGCTTTCAACTACAGATATTTTCTACATGTTTAAAGTAGTGGGATTTTAGATATATTGACTTGATCATAAATTGTATTGCTTGTAATTTTACCATAAAATGTGTTTTATATTTCAAATTGTCATTTTCAGATTCTCATTTTGCTATAAAAATGTATTTTTTGGCATTTTATTATAAAAAACCTACTGATGATTTCTGTTCGGTCGTGGGGTCCCTATTTTCCGATAAATGGATCCCTTACAAGTGTTACCACTCCGGGTCTGGGTGAACCTGTGAAAAACTGCTATTTGATGATTTTTGTTATCACTTAATCTTCATTGCAAAACACAGTAGCCCTCCAAAGATTTATTCTCTGTTTACTGTGAAATCCAGGAATTCTTTTGGTTCCTCTTTGGAAGGGAACCATTAACTTTTCTTATATTTATAGATCTCAGTTTATTTTGATATTTAACCCATAGCTATTTAGGTAAATAAGAAATGGATTCACACCTTTGACAATAACATTAGATCGAAAATGAACTCAACAACCAAGGCTGGAATTTGAACTCCCATGTCTATAACCGTTACGCTACCTCGTCATCCATTGTGTATCCGGATTTAGAAAGGAGAAAATTACTCCGCGCAAATATGAATGTACAAACGAGTGTGTGTACCTCTATCTCCAAGATGAATAAGAACTATATGTAAATGTGTGTTTTTTTTTATTTGTATGTGTCGTGTGGTAGTTTATATGTGTGTGCTTTTTTTCTGCTTCATCTCGGTGATTCGTTTTCGAATTGATTATATCAGGGAGAAAGGCACAATACAGCTGAGATATAGCAAGACGCTATATTCATTTCGTTTATTTAATCAAATGAAAAACATTGACAATATGAAAGGTTCAGTGATAAGGCTACGTTGAACGAATAAATCTATTGCTACCACATCTGGTTTGGTGGCTCCGTTACGTATTTAGAGATCCTTGACAAAAAAAAAATCCAAAGAAGAATCTGCTATGTTATCGATCCTGACCAGGCATTTCGGCTTCAACCAATTTCCCACCGCCTTAGACGGTCTTCTCTGTTTCTTTACATATTTTCAAGGCAATTATTCTGATGATATCCCTCTTTGATACCACGACTTTATGGATATAGGCGCAGTACAAGATTGCCGGCGAGATTGCAAACTTTTAAGGTTGAAATTGTTAAGTGGAACTGTAGGTTCTATTCTGATGTTTTCTTCCCTCTCACTTATCTACTAAGGAAATTTCTTCCAACTTCTTGCTTTCTTGCCAGCTTGCATCTTGAAAAATCAAAACGAAACGTTGTGAATATTGGCAATAAAGATGAGAATAACAGTCCGAATAATGTAAATAATGCAAGTAATCTTAATATGAGAGAAAATCATAGAGAATTGTGTTTAGAAACAGTAAAATCGACCTCGCTAACCCAACGCTCTTCTGTGGCCCAATCGGTTAAGGCACGTCAGGCTATATGACGGTTCCGTATAGGATACAGGTTCGATTCCTGTTGGAGGACGAATATTTTCTGTGAAAATTTCTCGGACATTCAGGACGGTAAATGTCATTAATACTGTTTATTATAAAACAGAGCATTTACTTAAATATTTGTATCTATAAAAAGAATGTATAAACATAAAAAATGTCTTAAAAAATAATTGTCGGACTTTGTCCATTTCATAATATGTAATCGTAATACCTCATCTCAGATATATAAATTGTTTTATTTAAAATAATCAATAAGATATGATATTGGATAATAAGATACGAACATTATGAGTGGATCCTAACTTAATATTTGATTAACTTGCACGGAGAAAAATAAAAATTCCACCATATATATTGCAATTTTTTTTTTGTTATTTTTATTGAAAAACTTTATATATATATATATATTTTATTGAAAAACTTATATATATATATATATATATATATATATATATATAATATATATTTCAAAAAAAAAAAATAACAAAAAAAATTGCAATATGAGCACTGGTAAAAGATGGTTGCTGAGACATTAAATTCCTAAGTCCCAAAAAATGATACACAGATGTCTTCAGTGGATAAAGTCGCTCAGTTGATAAAGACGTTGATTAGATCCAGGGAATAGAACCAAAGAGTTGTGAGTTCAGTAACAAGTTACAGCAGTGGTGAACTAAAATTGGAAAGTTGAGCTAAAGGGAAATAACTGAGAAATCCGGATGAGGCATGGCACTTGGAACTAGAACACTCTACCCTGATAGACGAAATAAAAGATTCTATTCGAAATTCGAATCACCTGAAGAAGGCCGGGGTGTACATCGGCCGAAACGTTGTGAATATGGCAATGAATTTGAGGACAGCAGTCCGAATAATGTATATAATGCAAGTAATCGTAATAACATCATGTCAGCAATATACACAGGTCATTATTAATGATGTTTTCTTCCCAATAACATATTCATTATTTCTTTCACTCTCAGTAATTCCTTGCGTCTAAGAAACTTTATCGCTTTTCTTGGGTTGAAATGATTAAAATGAATCAATAAACAATACATTCGTCCCAGTTATAATCTTTACATTCTTCTCGCTATTTGCTAAATCTGACTCAACCTCGTACAAGACTGAATTGTGGGATGAAGATTGTGTAGAACTAAAAATGTGAAAAATATGATTGTCCTCAAAAGCCAACATTTTAAATCTTCTTTTTAACTGGACTCGAAGACAAATTTTATAAGACAATAATCGAGCTAGGACAAGATGGCTTTTGACATTTAAATTAAGAAGCAAAAGTAACTCGTAGAATATCGTTCAAGAATAGCAAACTCAAATATCTGTAATTTAATTTTAGAAGTTCTCTGGTTCAATAATTTATCAGGCTTAAGCAATTGAACACTGCTAAAAATGGTTATATTAAATATTCATCGACATTTTCGTATGCGTATATTTTATGAACATGTATAACATTGATTATGAACATGTATAACGTTGACTAATTAATAATATCTCTGTGGCCAATCAGTTATTATTATTATTATTATTATTATTATTATTATTATTATTTAGTGAGGGAACAGAACGTCAATAAAGTGAAGCTTGGATATAAACATATGGACCCAATGTATCCATCATGACACCCAATCTGTTAAGTGTACACAAGGCATATGCATAACAGCCAAAACTGCAAGAAATGGTGACAGGTAACCTGGGGGAAATTTCAAATTTAATGAGGGCAGTATGTAGATACGCTCAGTAACTGAGCCTTACTAAGAATAAACACTGAACGAGATATCTCTAGAGACTGGCAGTGGAATGAGAAAACTGTACAAATAAAGAATCCAGTTCGAAATTTCCTGTAGGTTACCCTTGATCGACATACACCCGATGAAGGGCGCAGGGCATAGAGGCCAAAACATTGCGATAACAGATAACAACAAAAATGAGGATAATAGTCCGTATGTAGATAATGTAAATAACGATAATGTATCATCCCAGAAATTAGGGCCGAAATCATATAGTATTGACAAAGTCAGTTAATAGATAGATAGATAGATAGATAGATAGATAGATAGATAGATAGATGGAAGAAAGCAACAACAAAAATGATGACACTAGTCCACATATAAATAATGTAAATAATGATAATTTTTCATCCCAGAAATTTGGACAGAAATCACATAGCATTATGTTCATATCTATCTATCTGTCTATCTATCTATTAACCTCTTTCTTCTTATATCAGTCTCTATGTGGTCATCTGCATTATCTTTTTTCTCTATATCACTCTCTTCCTATCTATCTATCTATCTATCTATCTATCTATCTATCTATCTATCTATCTATCTCAGTCCTTTTCATATCTATCTATCTATCTATCTATCTATCTATCTATCTATCTATCTATCTATCTATCTATCTATCTATCTATAAACCTGTTTCTTCGTATATCAGTGTCTATCTGTTTATTTGTATTCTCTGTTTCTCTCGATATCACTATCTATCTATCTATCTATCTATCTATCTATCTATCTATCTATCTATAAACCTGTTTCTTCGTATATCAGTGTCTATCTGTTTATTTGTATTCTCTGTTTCTCTCGATATCACTATCTATCTATCTATCTATCTATCTATCTATCTATCTATCTATCTATCTATCCTCATCTCTTCATATCTATCTATCTATCTATCTATGAACTTGTTTCTTCGTATATCAGTGTCTATCTGTTTATTTGTATTCTCTGTTTTTCTTCGATATCACTATCTGTTTATTTGTATCTATCTATCTATCTATCTATCTATCTATCTATCTATCTATCTATCTATCTATCCTGTTATTCTACGAGATCCTCTTAAACTTGTCTAATAGAAAATAGCTGCATATTCCTCTTCTTGACTTCGCAACGACAAAACATGAACCCAACTGGAACCGTTTTACCTTTAATCTTATAATCAGAAAGATCTAGAACCGAAATTTCTATGTGGAATGCCGTCCAATAAAAATGGCTTTCTGTACCTGTTGATCGTTATGCGATTCAATGTTCATCAAACTTGAACAATTAAACGCTGCTAAAATTTGCCATAAAAGCATTCCCAATCTCTCCCTCTCTCTCTCTCTCTCTCTCTCTCTCTCCTGTTTATCTATTGCCTGTATTTACAACATTAATAGATTAAAAACTTATTAGCAAAACATTAAAGAAATATGCCAGGCCAATGTGCTTTCTATGGCTAAGTGTTATTAACATTAATCGTATTAGTAACATCTTTAAATATTTGCACACATGTGTCATTTAAAAAAGAAGACGAGATAGCTGATTATATTTTAATAAGACATAAAAAGCAAAGTAACACCGTTATTCGTTATTACTGTATCTTCTATTTGTTAATTTAAAGATATATCATTGAAAATGAAAATTGATTCTCTGTTATATAAGCAAAAAAGAATTGTGACATTCTTATTTTTTGTTTTGGACATGTTTCTTTTGAGTAATTAGTTAGAATTGAAAGTTCGGTGAGAAATGTATGAATATAGAACGGAGAAAATTTTAAAAAAGAGTTGTGTGCGTGTGTAATAATGTGAGAAAAACACAGACAGAAGACAGAGCATTAAGGAGATAGCCAGACAGATAGAAAGATAGTTTGATAAAATTATTGATCAAATATGCGAACGTTGATTTTTTTTCCTAACTGGTAAACATGATTTAAAAATACAATCCTATATTTGTACGAATCGAAAATCATTAAAAAACATAAAACTACCAACCAAGTATTAGGAACTTACCGGTTGATTTGTTTTATTTTCCGGTCGACTACTAAGTGGCTTTTAGCTCGAGGAAAAATGCTGAATCGAAAAAAATAAAATAAAATAAAAACAAAACAAGTAAACCTTTTTTCTACATAACATATGCTTTAATAGACTCTGAGCTGGCACTTACATAGTAATCATAGCTATCATACATTGGTTTATAGTATGATGCAGGGACCCAAGCTGTGGTAAAGAATTCGTCTGCATGCCAACCATAGATCTGTTTTTCCCTTTTTATATTAGAAATCAACGTTTTAAATTTTATACCAAAAAAACCTATTTTATTTGCTATTATTTTTCTTACAGTCTTCTGTTCCATCGACGTCATTTTGTCTTGTCAATTGTTGATTACGTATTCCTTCTTTATGCTAAAATGTCGCACTAAGCAAGATCTTGTTAATGGAACACTACTTAACCACGTTTCGCTCTTGAAAAATTTGCGTCTTCACTCTATATTTTTGTTCCAAATTCCATACATGAGTAAAATGAATTCACTACTTGACTCTAGCTTAACGTGTAACGAGAATACGAGACGAAAAGTTTCATATTGTAAAACTCATTTTTATTTCATTCAAAATTCATTTTCAAACACAAGTTATATGTTTTCATTACTTAACGTTATTTTAACATCTAACAAAACTACGAGACTAAAATTTTAAAACCTAAAATTCATGTTTGTTTTGTTCAAAATTCGACTTCAAGATGCTATCACGGTATTAGTAATAGTGACCATAAAGCATATTAAACTTATTAAACCGTTGCTCTGCCACTGACAGTTTTATTCTATGTTAGCCATTGTGTCCAGATATTTTGGATTTTTCTTGCTATATATTTTCATTGCTTTAGTTCGCATTTCTAAATATGACAATTTTTTTTACTTATTTTTTGCTGTATTTCGCTTACTACATTCAGTTACCCGTTTCCTTTCTAATAAACAGAGGATAACCGAGATTAATGCAAATACAATAGGTGGCGTTTGATATTTGAAATAATTGTTATATTAGAGGTTTTTCCCCATTCATCTTTCTTTCGTCTTCATAAAATTTACTTTTTAACAAATTTTAGGGATACAAAAGACTCTTATCTCCCTTTTATGGAAGATAAGTCCTGTGATCACATGACGGACGCTTCGTGCCGTCACTCTATACACAGAGTTGATTTCCATTTGGTGAATAGAAACCAAATTAGAACGTTGCTTTCTTCCAGAGTGGGACTTTTTGCCTAGGGTGAGGCTAAATCTTGCACCGTCTCCCCAGCTTACAAGCACATGATGCCGTTACTCTTTGGGACATAAATGTATCCGGACTGTTTAAACCAGGAATCTTTTTCAGGGCAGGAATATCTTCGAATTATATGTAAGACCTATATGGTGAAGTTCAATTTATATTACAATGAATCATTCATATAAAAAGTAGATTAGTAAAATTAATGATATAAAATGGCAAAATCCCTTCGCAAACAAATTTTTAAAAGTGCATTTTTAGGTTAATGCACCTTTAAAATTTTGTTTGCGCAGGGATTTCGCCATTTTATATCATTAACTTTACTAATCTACTATTTGTATGGATGATTCATTATATATATATATATATATATATATATATATATATATATATATATATATATATATATATATATATATAGCTATTTAGTGGTAAATAAACACATACATATGCAAAATATATAAATATATATACATAGATGCATACACATACATATATATTTTTTTGAATAAAATTGCAAGAGGATAGAATTCAGGTAGAACTCAATGTCCAGGACAGAGTAAGGATATAATAAAAAGGCTTAAACACTAATATTCCATGGTCATAATTTATTCCATTGGAATCGTAAATACGATCCATTCATTAGACCTACAAATTCAAAAAGAAAACAGAAAAAACAACTCCGGAAATAAAAATAGAATTTAGAGCGGCCCTTTCAGTAAATGCCCTTCAGTTTTAGTTTCCCCCGCCCCATCTCTCTCCCCCACCCCTTTTTCTTTTCTTTTCCTTTACCTTAGTTTTCTTCTGATCTTTAAGATTAGATCGTCTATTGTGTATGTATGTTACCACAAAATGTATCATTTCCGGTTACATCTTTAATGTATTGAGCATCCGAAAACATTCATATTTCTCTCACTTAAACCGTCTTCAACTCACCTCTTTAAAACTTCTCTCTGTTAAGTTTTAATCTCCCACCTTCTCTCGTCTGTTACCCCTCTCTTTAGCTCTGACATTCGTCCGACACTCTCATACTTAAACTCTCTCTAAATTCTATTTTTATTTCAAATGTATCAGAAATATTCAAAGCATGTACGAATGATAAACTTATAAATGTGTAAGATAGATTCAGGTGGGGATAATTGTATATCACGACTCATTTAAATACTGTATGCGATGGGCAAATTGTCGCCATCTTATAATTTTATTTCGAGCATGCGTGTTGTTTGTTTTTGATTTTGTTGACTGCACAGACTAGTAGAGTCAGTTGGGCACCGTCTGCGAGAGAAAGAGCACCATGACGCAAATCACTCCGCCAAAGCTCCAATACGAACAGAATGTTGGGTGTCAATACGAGGACATTTCAGAGGATCCTGGATCCATATATATATATATATATATATATATATATATATATATATTTTTTCAGATTTTATAACATACTTATGTTATAATTTTTTTATAAAAATAATTATATATATATATATATATATATATATATATATATATATATATAAGGCTCAAAAACTAATATTCCATGGTTATAATTTATTACACTGGTATCGTAAACACGATCCAAATCAAAGAAATCGGGATGTTCCTTACGTTTGCGTTTTTCTGACAATTTTCAGGAAGCCTATGAAACCAATTTACATATGTAAAGGCCTACTGACAATTCTTTGAATATCTGTATCGTTTTAAAAAAAAAATATGCAGTTTTCAGTGCATTCCCTAAATGTCTTTGCCATGTTCCATATGCCTGAAACTTTCCATGAAGACTTTTCTTTTAAGTAAAGATTTCAATACCGTGCGGAAATCTTCGGCAATTCTTTGTAAAAACATAATTTCAATTACGTGCGGAGATATTTAGACTAATCTCTAATTGTGTGCGCAGTGTTCCATAATTCTGATGACTCAGTACGGAGATTTTCAGGCGATTCCCTAAATGTGTAGGCACTGCTCCATACGTAGAATTTCCACCAATTCTCAGGGAACATATAAAATTTCCCTTTTTTTTTTGTGATTTTCGGATAGCATTCTAAATATCAATGCCACGTTCGATATTCATTTCTGGCAATTCTCTTCATGTAAATAAATTTTCCATTTCTTATGGGAATTTTTGTACAATTCTGGATACGTGTGCACGAGTTTCATTATTTATGGATAGTTTAGACATCGCTGTACATTTATGACTTTGCATAAAACAAATGCTGAGTTTGTGTAAAGTTTTATTTATGGTAGTCTTTGAAGTACAGCTCATTAATGTTTTATGTCTGTGCCCACTTCAAAAGGACAGAATCAACCAACCCTGTCACATGTCCTGCTTTTAGGTTTAATCTTTATTGCCATGTCAAATCGGATTCAATTCCTAGAGAGCCTTCGTATTAGGTAAATATAAAAAGGTTATTGCATTAGATATCAATTGTAATTGATATTTGCTTTAGCTAAGAACCACTGTCAAACCGAGAAGAAAACAATTTATGCATAAATATCACGTGTAAGAACATTTACGTCAATGATCGATGTCAAATGTTTTATTTTTTTTATTATTATTCAGGCAAATATAGTTGTGTAGAAACCAAACGCAACAATGGCGTCGGGCGGGAAAAATGTAATTCATAAACAGATTCTGGATTAAAAGGTGGGTTTTGTTTGAACAAAACTCAGTTTGAAACACTTGCGGATAAATATCATTAGACAACGTAAAGTAATTTCTATTATCCAATGCAGGGTCGTGGGTATTTGTCTAGGATGCCTAATAAAGATTTGAAATATCGGATCGAACCAAGTACTACAGACAAAATAACCCTACTATATCTGTTAAGGGTATACAGGGTGTCC